TCTTTTGGTTTCTCTTTTTCCTTCTTGGCTAGTTTCTCCCTTCCAAATAGTTTTCTTCATTGCAGAAGATTTCAGTCCCAAGAAAGTTTCAAAAAATTGAGTAAGAAATCAAACTTACATTGAAAGAAATAAAAGAATATAGAAGGGCATACGAGAGAGAGGAAATAAATAAAATAAAAGGTCTGAACCCTAACTACAAAATATGGCTCCAATTCAACGAAAATGTCGTGAATGCCCATAAGGGGCCATTAAACCTAGCAACCTCCCAAACCTCCTCACATGATCACTCCATCTCACTAAATATTTTATTGTTCTTTTCAGACCAAATCTCCCACAGAACAGCAAAGAAACTATCATGCTACAACATTTTACTCTTTTTCTGAAATGGAGAATTCAAGCACCTCCTCCCCCATAGAGCCACAATCTTTATTCGGGCCCAACATAAACCGAACAAGGTCATCCACCCAAAAGGATGCAGGTCATAGCTACTCACAATGACCTTGTACCACAGTGCATTAGGCTCTATGAAGACCCACCATAACCACTTAGCCAAAACGACCTGTTTGCATAATCTCAAGTTCCAATCCCAAGAAAGCTAAATTGTTTATCTAGCTGTTTTGAATTAGAGAATTAACACTATCAATTTCATTTAGAGGTCTTCCTTGATGCTACTGGACCAGCCATGGTGTATTTTGCGTAAATGTCCTTTGGAGAGATGGGACCATGTGTTGAGGAGTAATAATGTCACTGTCTCAATTTGGGAGTGGTTTTTTGTGTTTGGCTCAAACATATGAGAGGTTTGGACTAACCTTTATAACAAGGGAGACTAATGGGGGAGGCTATTTTGTGGAACATTTGGCTCAAGATAAACCATTTTTATAGTTTGACACTTCCCTTTGGGACAAAAGGATTTTGTACTTTATCATTTTCCAATATCCTTAACAGTAAATTTTTTTTTTCCATCTTTTGTTTTATGTTTCTTTTTTATCCATTGTAAATATTTTCATTTGAAATATGAACTTATGGTTCTCATTTTTTGAAAAAGAAAAAATTAAAATAACGGTACAACTAAAAAGTTATTTGCACTCACTTTCCTTGAAGACCAAGTGAGAAGCCTGCAAGAACAACATAAGTGCCGAAAGCCATGAGTGGAATGTACAAGTCTGGTGCATTGATATCATAAATTGGTGGCTTATACGATAGTCTGCCTCCAATTGGATCAGTTATTCTTGTCCAATGGCCCTGGAACAAAAGCAATACGATAATTAAGGAGTAAGGAGAAAGTAGGGACTACAAAAATTAACAAGGGAGAAATTAAAAGATTAGTACATACCCTGTGTAAAAATGGAAATAGGACAACCTTCAATTTATTCCTAACATACTGGTCGTTCACTTGGAAGTAGTATTGGGGATCAGAAAAGTACCTACTTATCTATCCATAGCAAAAAATAAAAATTAAAAATGGAAAAAAAATAATTAAGAAAAGGCTAAATGCCTTAAATCATCTGATCTGAGACAAAAAGTGAAATAAAATGCCTAGGCACGTGCTTAAGAATTTCAAAGCGCCCAATCATTAGAAGCAGGAAGAGAGAATCAATTGCATCATCCTGAAAAGAGATAAGGATAACAGTTCATCTTTCTTCTTCTTTTCTTTTGTAAAAAAAAAAAAAAATCAATGATTAGGTGAAAAGTTAATGATCTTTTCCATCCTCTTCCTATTGGTATTGCTGAAAACCACCTCAATTTGAGTTAATTAAAAAAGGAAGTATGATAGCAAGAGTTGAAAAAAGCATACCAACTAGGCATGAAATTTAACTATATCTAGAACCTCTTACCAACTCAAACACTTTGAACATCCTTTTGTCTTTTAAAAACCAAACTCCCTACATGAAAGCTTTCAGCACATTAAGCCACAATGTCTTAGCTTTTCTTTTTCCCTTTCTCAATCCAAGTCCAGAAAACAACTTTGAAAGAAGAGAAGAGATGATTATAATGCTTCAACCTAGCTTAGATTTTTCAAAGAGATGTAATATATAACCTGGCAAGATGCTTGCTACGACGCCATCATAATTTCAAGAACAGACGAGTTGTATGGCAGAATTTAGTTGAAGCAACTCTTTTGGGTTCATGGAGAAAAAGAAGTGAAAGAGTGGGTGCTTGATGATAAAAGCAAATGTTAGAAGAGGCGGTAAAAAGTTTCTTGTGAAAAAATATAATTGTCATGAAAATTTTCTGAATACAAAAACAAAGAAAAAAAAAACACTAACCACTTACATCAAGTTGTGATTTTGTATATTCATGGAAATCTATAACATTTTCTGAACTATAAATCTTGGATGGTGATAAATTAACGGAGGAAATAGTACTCACATTGCTTTGAACATACTCTGAGCTTGACCCAAATATTTTCTCTCCATATGCACCCAATCCACCTCGGATTAGTCCAGATCCGGCACCATAAAATGCATTTCCGAATGGATTTGGCTGAGAGCTTGATGGAGGTTTTGGAGCTACAGATTGGGCTTCCACATTATTATACATTTCTGCATATGGAAAAGAAAGAAAAGGTAAACGAACAAGAAAACACCTCACGAGGAACTGTACATCCTTTTTCAACTAAAGAGTATGATTCTTGAATCACATAAGATGTTTTATTCTAACTTTCCTTACAATTCAATGTCATTTCAGCATTGAGAAAATAAGGGATGAAGCGCACATGTCAAAATATTTTCACCGACAGGCTACAGGCTATATAGGTTATAGCAATTTGCAAGAAATCAAACAACATCCTTAATAGAAATGGCAAGATATCAATCGTTGTAAATTAAAGATGATGAAATCAAACGTGGAAAGTATAGACCAGCAATCAGAAAAACGGAAAAGCACAATAACATGATAAAAATTCTAAAAACATACTGGCGAACGTGTGATATTTTTTAGCATATTGGTGTTGTATAGAATATAAAATTGCAAGCACCGTCATAGCAAAGCCTCAACTTAATCACGGAGTTAGAAATAGGTGCTCAAAGGGGATGATTTGCTTATAACATTTGCAGGGAAAATCCCCCACGTGAAATTTTCTTTCACCTTTTACAAATCCTAAAGAGTTCCCATGACTAATTTAAGCTCTTCTAGATGCTAAAACTAAAATTAAAAATTAAAAAAACGCCAACATTAACCACTTCCAGAACCGAATCTGATCCCAAATCACGCCACAAAACTCAATTTCAACCCAAAAACTTCGAATTCACGAGGAACGAATTTTATTGATCCTAGAGTAATAAGAAGCTGACGCAGCACTAAAATAAGATCTCAAGTTCAATAAGAATATAAACCAAGGCAAAAGAAATGATTCATATCACAAGAAGCAAGTAACAATTCCCGTAATTCAGCGAAACGAAACATCCCGTACATTCCAGATTCAGAAAAATGATCATAATAATAACCAATCTGATAAAGCAAATAAAGAAAAAACAAAAGGCGAACTTCTGAAGAAACGCGACCGACCGGAAGATCTACTGGGTGCAAATACGACAAAGGAAGGTGTGAGACAGGGCGGCGAGGGCTTCGCTGTGGAGACGGAGGAAGGGGTCGGAAAGGTTCCGGCGAAAGCCTCGCTCGAGGGAGAAGAAAGCGAGCGACACGACGGTGAAAGAGCGAAGAAATTTTAGAGTCTGAATCTGAAGGTGAAGTTGGATCGGGTATCTGGTAAGAGTGAGACTTGGGCTTGGGCTCTCTACTTTGGGGAACTTTCTAATAATTATTCAATTTTAACTCTAAAATATATGAATTATATTAAAGTTTCCATTTTTTTTTATTATAATAAATCACCATTATTAATAATATTTCTTTCAAACTGTGACTCTATTGTTGTGTCAGCGGACGTTAGGTCCCTAAGAAAGTGGATTGCTAGATCTTATATTAGTTGGAAAGGGGAATAAAACATTCCTTATAACCATATGAAAATTATTCCCTACAAGACACGTTCTAAAAATTATGAGACTAACGATAATATATAACGGGCCAAAGCAAACAATATCTGTTAGTAGTAGGTTTTGGCTGTTATAAAATGGTATCCGAGCTGGGCACTGAGCGGTATGCTAGCGAGAACCCTAGGTCCCTAAGAAGGTGGATTATGAGATCTCACGTCAATTAGAGAGAGAAACGAAACATTCATTCTAAGGGCGTGGAAAAGTTTCCCTGTGCTTAAAAAATTGTGAGGCTGACATAAATACATAACGGATCAAAACGGACAATATCTATTAGCGGTATTAACCCAGTGGTCATTAAGATCGGTGGAAGATTAAATAATTTTAACTTTTTAAGGTAGGGAAGCGTCTAATATATTAAAAATTTTATAATTACTGTGTAATATTAGAGATGTTCATTTAATTTGTTCGAATGAGGTAGAGAATTCTCACCCCGATCTCCACAAAAATAAATGAGAAATTTTGCTAGGATATGGAATGAAATAGGAGGTAGGAAAGGCTTCTCGGTCCCCACTTTGCCTCGCTCGTGAATGTCTCATATTAATCAAATAAATGCAAAAATACCTATATGATAATAATGAAATAGAAAGCTAATTATAATTGACTATCATATTTTTTTTTAAAAAAAATTGTCAATGGACCGAACCGCGGCCCAAACGAAACTAGACCAGTTGAAACCCAAACAGTACCTCAACGTAAGAGGTCTACCAAAGCGAATTACGTGTCACTATTTGATAGGTTCAATATTGATCGTTGACTTTTTGATTTGAAATAAACCCAATCCCTTTACGACACGTCGTTCAAACCCGAACCCCCATCTTTACATCCTGAACCCGACCACCGCCACCACCGTCTCTCCCCCGCTCTCTCTCCGTTTCGAATCCTTCTCTGCCTCTCTCTCTCTCTCTCTCTCTCTCCCTCCCTCTCTGCCACTTCGATCAATTACCCGCCTGAATTTTTCAGTAAGTTTCTGTATTCAAATCTTTAGCGATTAATTGATTTGGAATTTCAGTTTATGAACTCCAGGGAGTTTTTGTATTTGCACTTTGATATTATCCTCGCGGCTTTGATTTTGGGTCCTTTTTCTTCGATGGTTTATGGGTTGTGGGAGTGAGTGTTTTTGGTGGGTAATCGTGAAATTTCATGCCCTTTTATGCTTCTTTGTTTGGGAGATTGGTAAGAAAAAAGTTAGGGATGTTGTTTAAATGGAAGGAAAATATGTCTGCAGTTGTGTCTTTCTGCTGAAAAACGTGGGTTATAATTGAATGAGATGAACGTTTGTTTTATGGATGTCTGAGAATTTTAATTGTATGAAAAAGCTTTCGAGTATGGTGACTTTGGGTCCTGTTGCTTTCCCCTCTTGAGTTACTTTTGTTTATGGAGATAGCATTGAACTTTTGAAGTAATTACAGTTTGGTGGCGTTTTTTTGAAGGGGTAAGCTCATTAATCAACCAAGTAGAGCGTTTTCTTGATTTAAATGTTTGCACAGGCCCCATACTGTCTCAGCTACAGCATTAACTTGTGGCATGCCTACCTATGTTGGTATATTGTTGAGGATTGTTGTGAGGGAGTCTCACGGTTGGCTAATTAAGGGAATGATAATGGGTTTATAAGTAAGGGAATGATAATGGGTTTATAAGTAAGGAATACATCTCCATTGGGATGAGGGCTTTTGAGGAAGCTAAAAGCAAAGCCATGAGTGTTTATGACTCAAAGTGGACAATATCATACCATTGTGGAGAGTTGTGATTCCTAACATGGTGTCAGAGTTATGCTTTTAAGTTACGTCAATAGAATCCTTAAATGTCGAACAATGTAGTTGGGACCTTGAAAGTGTAGTCAAAAGTGACTCAAGTTTCGAACAAAGGGTGTACTTTGTTCGAGGGCTCCAGAGAAATGAGTCGAGTCTCAATTAAAGGGAGGCTGATTGAGGTCTCCATAGGCCTTAGGGGAGGTTCTATAGTGTACTTTGCTCGAGGGGAGGATTGTTGAGAATTGTTGAGAGGTAGTTCCATATTGGCTAACTAAGGAAATGATCATGGGTTTATAAATAAGGAATACATCTCCATTGGTACAGGCCTTTTGGAGAAACCAAAAGCAAAGCCATGAGAGCTGATTCTCAAAGTGGATAATATCATATCATTGTGGAGAGTCGTGATTCCTAACATATATATCTTCTTTTGCTAATTTTTCTTTTCTGCAAGATCGATCTTCATTTATTCTTTTATTTTCATCTTGGTTATGGAATTTTCTGAAAATGGTTTGATTGTTGATTGCAGTGGAATTTGGGGTTGATGGTGATAGTGAGGTGGTGGGAAATTCGACTCTGGTGGATAGGAAACCTCTTGATGAAAACGAAACAGGTGTAAGTTCTATAGAAAGGATATTCGATGAGGACGGGGACGAGAAAATAATACAAGATTCATCTGGAAGGAATGCCATTTTGGATTCAGTTCCTGGATTGCCAGTAGTTCAAGCAGATGAGCCCTATGTTGGTCAGGAATTTGAAAATGAGGCAGCAGCTCATGCGTTTTATAATGCTTATGCTACACGTGTGGGGTTCGTAATTCGTGTTAGCAAGCTTTCACGATCGAGACGTGATGGGACGGCTATTGGTCGAGCACTAGTTTGCAACAAAGAGGGGTACAGGATGCCTGACAAGCGGGAAAAGATCGTGAGGCAGAGGGCCGAGACGAGGGTAGGTTGCAGGGCAATGATTTTGGTGAGAAAAGTGAACTCTGGCAAATGGGTTGTCACTAAATTTGTGAAGGAGCATACTCATCCTTTGTCACCTGGGAAAGGTCGAAGAGATTGCATATATGATCAATATCCTGTAAGTTCTTCCATACACCAATGTTCAAATCCTGATGCACTAACACATGTTCTGACAAAATGAGATTCTCTTTGAAACCAGAATTTTGTTTATCTTTGTTGCTTTATTTGGGGCCTGGTTCAATTGTTAATCATCTGTTTGTATATATTACTCTGGGGAAATGGTGGGAGATGAAGGGAAATCCTCGAACTGCTGTCGGTTTCTTGTTCGTAGAAGATTTAGTAAGCTAGTGCTCACGATCCATGTCTCAAGGAGACACCGAGAATCTTTGTTAATCCTTCGAGTTTGGAAGGACGGTGCTTCAGTAGTTTTCTTTGGGAGGCGGCCCTCACTCCCTCCCCCCACCCCACCTGTAACACTCCAAGTCCACTGTTAGTAGACATTGTCTGCTTAGGCTCGTTACGTATCGTCGTCAGTCTCACGGTTTTAAAATGCGTCTGCTAGGGAGAGATTTCTATACCCTTATAAAAAATGATTCGTTCCTCTCTTCAACTGATGTGGGATCTCACACCACTCCATTCCTCCCATAGACTTGTCGTCCTTTTTGTGATTTATTCCATATTTCTATTGGTTCATATCGAAATAAACGAAATTATTTCCTATTTGTTGAATGACCTTTCATAAAGATATCCTTGGCCTTTGTTTCTTCATTATAGTTTGAGCTTTTAACTTGTAAGTATGTTACATCTTATGTGAGGTGGAGGCATTCGGAACTGCTGAGCTAAGCTCGTGATGGCACTTTTGGCTTCTTTTATAAGTACGGTGAGATTCCATATTCGTTGGAGAGGAGAACGAAACATTCCTTATAAGAGTGTAGAAACATCTTTCTAACAGATGCGTTTTAGAACTGTGACGCTGATGGCGATACGTAACGGGCCAAATCGAACAATATCTACTAGCGGTAGGCTTGGACCGTTACAAATGGTATTAGAGCCAGACACCGAGTGGTGTGCCAGTGAGGACGTTGGGACCCCAAAGGAGGTGAATTATGAGATCACACATCGGTTGGAGAGAGGAACAAAACATTTCTTCTAAGAGTGTGGAAACCTCTCCCTAACATATGCGTTTTAAAATTGTGAGGTTGAAGGTGATATGTAATGGATCAAATCAGACAATATCTGCTAGCAGTGGACTTGGGCTGTTACAAATGGCATCAGAGCTAGACATCGGCTAGTGTGCCAGCGAGAACGCTGGGTCTCCAAGGGGATGGATTGTGAGATCCCACATCGGTTGAAGAGGGGGAACGGAGCATTTCTTATAAAAGTGTGGAAATTTCTCCCTAACAGCTGCATTTTAAAACCGTGAGGTTTATAACGATACATAACTAGCCAAATTAGACAATATCTGCTAGCGATGGGCTTGGCTATTACAAATGGTATTAGAGCCAGACACCAGGCGGTGTGCCAGTGAGGACGCTGGGCCCCCAAGGGGGTGGATTGTGAGATCCCACATCGATTGGAGAGGGGAACGAAGCATTCCTTATAAGAGTATGGAAACCTCTCCCTAACAAACGTGTTTTAAAACCATGAGGTTAACAGCGATACGTAACGGGCCAAGTCAGACAATATCTACTAGCAGTAGGCTTGAACGGTTACAAATACCATCCTTTCAAACATCAGAGGTTTTAAATCATAGAACAATTCATTCTTTCCTTGTTGATGGTGTTATTAGCGAGCTCAATTGTATGACTCCGGTTCTCATAGTCTCTTGAAGTTTTACACTTCTTAGTGTTATATACTAATGGCAAATGGCTTATAACAGTGCATTCATTGTATTACTCACTCAACTTTTGCCATCCTTGCATTGCAGAACGAACACGATAAGATACGCGAACTGTCTCAGCAGCTTGCAATTGAGAAAAAGCGATCGGCAACATATAAAAGGCATCTAGAAGTAATATTCGAATACATCGATGAGCATAACGATAACCTGTCGAGAAAGATCCAACATATAGTAGACAATGTGAAGGAGATGGAAAGCATAGAACAGCAGAATCATAGATAGTATTTGGGTAAACTTTTATACTCTCAGCTTGGGATTCCAAAATGAAGATGATGGTATAGTTGCTGGATGGATGAAGAACTTGTTAGTTTAGAATTCTTTGTGATATGTTCCAGCATTTAGACGTCAGTTCAGTGTCACATAAAATGGAGTATATTGCCCATGGTGTTCATTGCTTGTAAATCTCAATGTATGTCATGTTTTGTATAGCATTCGAACGATTTGTATCTTATTTTCGTTAGCAGTAGTTTTGCTTTTTTCCTCTTTTATTCATTTTCTTCAAGTTATTGACGATTAAACATGGGATCACCCCTAATAAATATTGTCTGTTTTGACCTGTTACGTATCGCCATCAACTTTATGGTCTTAAAATGCATCTGTTAGGAAGATATTTTCACACCCTTATAAGGAATACTTTGTTTTTCTCTCCAACTGAGGACGGTGAGCCATTGATGGGAGTGGATTGTGAGATCCTACATCGGTTAGAGAGGGGAACAAAGTATTTCTTATAAGAGTGCAAACCTCTCCCTTGCAGACACGTTTTAAAACTATGAGATGGACGATGATATGTAACGGGCCAAAGCAGACAATATCTACTAGTGATAGGCTTGAGCTATTACATCATGTCTTTATAGACATCATAGGAAGAAGAATGGTTTTTGGCATTCACGTCGTTCAATCCATTCACCTCCAAAAAGAAAGGAGAAACGAAAAAACTTGTCGGGTACTAAAGGACATTGCCATACAACTATTGGAACTTGTGCCCTATATCTCGGGGACTAAAGGACATTGTCATACTAAGATGTTCAATCTATGAACGTTCAGGGTTATAGAAGTTAATATGTAAGACAAGGTGAATATATGAGCTTTTGATGTGTCACCAAGTTGGTCGTTTTCAACTTGATCTCAATACTAAATGTATCGTGACGTTTTGTTAGAGCAAATATGTTTTATTTTTAATTCAACATGGAAAGGGGAAGATTTAATCCTCATGATTGAAGTGATTAAACCGTTAATTAACGAACCTATTTTTGCCACCATGCCGAAATTTTTTAAAAAAATTGTTTTATTACTATTTTTTTCCAATTTATTAAATCTCCACCCTTAGTTGATTTTTTTTTTTTAATAAATAAAACCAATTCAATTTCTAGCAAAAACTACCAAAAAGGATGAAGTTTTAGAAGATTATGAAATCACTACCCACCTAGCTAACTTAATATCGTGAATGATAAAGAATACTATCAACCGGAAGCCTTTCGAGAGTACTTTCACCCATCAAGAAAAGAGTATCCGTATTGAAGTTCAAGTATCCTTAAGCTAACTCACAAATATGAGCATCAACTAGAAGCTTTTCAAGAGTACTTTCACCTGTCAAGAAAAGAGTATCCGTATTGAGGTTCAAGTATTCTCAGCTAACTCACGAATATGATGCATTTCAACATAGTAACGCAATTGATACGAACCTGGAGATTCCAACTATAATGAACACATTGCTAACTATGGATATGATATCAAAATTAGATTGATCGTAATCTTAAGAAGAAATAGAAAACACTTCAATACTGAATCTTTGAGAGCGGTTTAAATTCAAACTTAAAAAAACATTATTTCGCTCTTTCTACTACTTAAAACATCACTTCTAAACCATGGTCAAACATAGTTAAAATCACTTTCAAACATGTTCCACTGATCTACCAGTCTCTGTCCGTTCGGAATTAAAATTTCAAGTTGCATGTTAGGTAGAACTCTAATGTCATTGGCATTATGTTTTCAGTACTACTTTCTAAACCAAGTTGACTAAAATTTTAACTCATGCCGGCTGCCGACAGCGGGCTTGAGCCAAACCCCACAACAACCAAACAGCATAAAAGAGAGAGAAGATCAGAGAAAAAGGTTTGAATTGAAAATTGAAAGGACAAGACAGATCAAACAAAGAGGAGACAGTGTCGGCAACGCACATTTCGACCAAGAAACCAAATTGTTTCACAGCAATATAAATATATTACATACCAACAAATTCATTGACACCTCAGAAACACAGGAATTCTAGGAGTATAAATATGACAAAAAGAGAGAAAACAATACGAATTATTCAATCCAAACGTACTGATTGTTCATCTAATTTACTGCACACTTTAAATAATTGTATAAGGATGTCTTGGTTCTTACTTGGGCTAATGGTGATTCTGAATGCTTACAAACCATTGAGATGGATGAAACTCAAGACGATGTAGCTGGGGCGACGTAAGTTGGATTAAACGCAGCCTGCTCGGCACATGTAAGTGAATTGTGAACTCCGGACTCTTCACGACTAAGACCCATCAGATCAAGGTAGTATTGGTAATGAGAAATAATGTTGTTCATCGGGTCAATATCGCCCTGCCCACAGATGGAATCGCCATAGAGAATATTCATCGTTGCACCGAAACCCGGAACCCTTTTGGACAAGGTATCGTTCTTGGTGGGCTTCCAATTGCCAACAAAGACATCATGGGGTGAAGGCTGTGACTTCTTCACTGGGTTCATCCACATCCACATTGCAGTTTGGAATGCAATGGTAGCATTCTGCTCAACATATTCAGGATGGTTCAACAGATCGAGCTTCAACGCGTCGCCAATCCTGCCATAATTGTAATTCCTAGGACGACAAACAACAATGAGAACTCTGATGAACGTTTGTCGAACACTCTACATGGATGATACATCAAATTCCAGATAAAGATGCCAGCAAGCAAAGATATTAAACAAGAATTTATCAGATTAGCTCTTTATCTAAGAACTTATCCAAGAACTTAATCTAAATCAATGTTAATCTAAACGTGCATACTTCTTTATCCAAGAACATATCAGATTAGCACTTAATCTAAGAACTTATCCAAGAACTTAATCTAAATCAATGTTAATCTAAACGTGCATACTTCTTCATCCAAGAACTTATCAGATTAGCTCTTAATCTAAACGTACAATACAAGAAGGCATTAAGCATTTTTTCAGCATGATATGTTAGATTAGAGACCTGTAAGTGTCAATTTATGGAACAAGGAACACAGCTATAAATCAATATTAAAACCCATTTTACTGGACAAAAGAAATGGGGATAGAAAACTTCAAACCAGAAAATGGGCAGAGCACCACGGCCATAATATTGAGCACCAGGAGCACAAGGATAAGTGAGCTTGAAGTAGTCATTGCAATAGTCCTGACTTGGACTCATCTCCCTGTTGAAACAGAGTCCCCAAGCAAGTGGCCCTCCTGTGACCACTCCATCGCCACCTACAGCCACCAGCATTTCACTCACAATCCACAGTCAATCAGTAAAGAAACTTCTCAAGAAAAGTGTTTTTCACTTACAAGAGGTCCTTGAGCCGACATGGCCCAAAAAAGCAGCAACCTCTCTCATCTGCATCTTCTTATCTCCAGTGGTTCCAAATCCGAGCGGCTCAAACTGGGCGGCGGCGAGAATGAAGGAATGGAAGTCCCAGAAACCGACGGCATGGGCCACCGGCGAATTACGCTTAGCGAAGAGATTCTCGAATTGATAGGTCTCGAAGTAGTCGGTAATGGTCAAATTGCAACAATAAGTGGACCAAGTGCACTCCCAGCCTCTATCACAAAGCCTCTTCCCCTTCACAGTCTTAACCTTCGGCTTAATCGGGGGCTCATCCCCACTCACAACCGACGCCATTACAATCAGCGCCAGTATCACCAGAAGCGAGCGATTCCAAGCCATTATCACCTCTCCCACTGCAAACGCAGAGAGAATAAACATGAATTTCAAGCAGATTTAAGCAGATTTCCATGAGAAGAGAATAAGCTTTTTTCTTACCTCAAATGGCGGCGATTGGGCAGATCTGAGGAGGTTGTTGTCTTAAACTTGCGTGTGCTGATGTAAAAGAAGAAGAAGAAGGAAGGGGAGGAGAATGAGAAGAAAAATGAAGAATCGTTAAAAGGAGGGGTTAGATCGGGCGTCTCTTTCAGCTCGTAGACGCCATTGATTGAAGCCATTTGAGCTCTGGAAGAAGTTACAGAGAGAGTAAGGAATGTGGACCGTCCGATTGAAGATTGATCGTAAGAATTTCCAGGCTGGAGAGGGGACCCATTGAAATGCCGCACCGACACTTAAAATCATTCAATAAAATTTAATTAAAGAATTAACATTGAATTCCTGTTTAAAAAATATATTTTATTAATATCTGTAAACTCATTTTTTAACAAAATTCTTTGTTTTTTTTACAAAAATAGTTTTAATTCTTTATTTCAAACATATGCGTAAATTTATTAAAATTTAATTGATATTCTTAAAACTCAAATAAACTTTAAAAAATCCATTTTCGAGAGAAAAATAAAAAAAATGAAAACAGTGATGATAACCAGAATTCATCACAGTTTAATTTTAAAAAATTATATTTTAAAAAAAAAATATCCTCTTATCGAAACAGTTATTCATACCATATTTTCTCCTCGATTCTTCGATATTTTCTTAATCTCCTTATTTTATAAGAAATCGACATATAAACAATTGAAAACAACTCATAAAATATCCTTGCTTTTTTTTTTTTTTTTTTCGTGGGAATACTTTATTGTTTTTTCTCAACAACTAAATAATATAAATAAACTTCAAATTAAAAAGAATCGACAAAGAAATATCATAATCAAATCGTGTAGAACCTTATGAACAGACAATAAATATATTAATTTGAACGTAAGAAAAACGATCGACCAAATGATACAGCAAATATACTAATTACAACCATTACATTTGATTTGTAATGATAGAGCTCTTCAAAAGTTGATAATAAATAAAAATATCAAAAGATCAATTAACAAAGGTATCATGAAAAGATGAGTAAAATTTCAAAATTGGCATTAAACTCCTCATCTCGTTGTCTCAGTCCACAGGTGGGAAATAAAATTATTAATTGATGAAGAAAATTTAGGAATGGGGGACACAGATTCGGCTAAAAATGATGTGCTGAATAATTAACTAACTAAGGAAACTGAGAATTCAACACAAGGAAAGAACTCCACTATGTTTCTTCTACCACAACCAGCCTACTACTCCACCCCTTCCCCATCTACTCTCCTACTGTCAAACCAAATCCAAATTTGTAGTCTTTCTTCCTGTGATCAATCTGCATTACACAACATTCAGATTCAGATTCAGCCAAGTGAACGAGAAGAGTCTAAAACGAGCCCGATTTTTCCAAAATAAACTTATTTTCTCAAGGATTTCTACTTCTAAAGAACATTTTCGAAGTTCAAGTCGAAT